TATAGAAGAAAGTATTCAACCTTTCCAGGGAGATTCAGTCTTTTTTTTTAAAAAGGAAAAGGTTGTAATTAAGTTCAAGGTCACATAGCTGGTGACTAGCAGTGCCAGGGCTGGCTTTACAGCCAGCTGTCTAAACTGTCAGCTGACACAGGGACAATGAAATGCTGGCCCGAGGTTTAAATAAACTCAAACATAATTTACATCTCCCCAGTTCTGTTTTCCCCTTGAACAGCAGTCATTGTCATCATCATCTCCCCCCCCCCACCCCCCCCCCCCCACCCGCCGCATCCCCCTCAGCAGAAAGAAATCAAAACACTCCTTGAGTGCACGGGATCCTCTCCAAGATGGGGGATTCAAACTGGAGTAAGGATTGTTTAATCTAAAGTGACCAGCAAACTGGAATCTGGCTGTGGTGGTGCACACCTGTAATCCCTCAAAAACCTCTCAAGCCAGGCAGTTCAGCATTAGCTTTCAAGTTCCCACAGAACTGCTCACCAAGCTCCAAGCGCTGGGTGGTTTTTCCAGCCCAGAGTTCCAGACACCTTCCCCTTTTTCCCCAAATAACACAGTCAGGTCTGTCACAGCAGCACCTCACTCTTGGCTGTCAGCCTCTGCCCCGGTTAGTTTTCTGTTGCGGTGGTAAAACGTTGATCAAAACAACCTGGGGTATGTTTGACTTACAGGTTGGAGCCATCCTCATGGAGGGAAGCTGGGGCAGGAGCTCAAGGCTGGAACCGAAGCAAAGCACATGGAAGACACTGCCTGTGGCAAGCTTGCTCAGACTGCTTTTCTACACAACCCAGGACCACCTGCCCAGGGTGGCACCACCTGCATCGTGCTGGGCCCTCCCACATCAATCACTAATCAAGAAAATAACCTCCAAGCTAGGCAGTGACCTATATAGCACTCGGGAGGCAGAGGCAGCCAAAACTAGCCAGCACATTTTTGTGGGGGGAGGGGTGGGGTGGGCTTCGAGTTTATTTCTCATCCAAAAATTGTTTTGTGTTTTGTTTTGATGTGGATTTGTATGTGCCTGCTTGTCTGTGTGTGCCCACATCCACGCAGATGCCCGAAGAGGCTAGAAGAGGGTGTTGGATCTCCTGGAACTGAAGCTACTGGCAGTTGTGAGCTGCCTGATGTGGGTGCTGGGAACCGAACCCAGGTCCTCTGAGAAGTGCTCTTATCCTCTGCACAGCCAGACTGTGTGTGAGGAGGCTTGGGACTACAGTGCACCCTCTTAGTGACTGGTGGGACGGAGTAAGTCTTTGGTGGCCGATGATTGTCTTGCCAGGGAAAATCTGAAGCAATGTCCAGGCTGGCTGGGACACTATCAACACAGCTCCAGGTTCTATGACCAAACACTAAACCTGAAGACTGGACCAGTAATGATTTTAATCTTTCTCTCTCTGGGACAGGGTCTGTGTAGCCCCTGGTGCTATCCTGGAATTATGTAGACCAGGCTGGCCTTGAACTCACAGAGATCTGCTTGCCTCTGTGCCTAGGCATCCTGACTGCTGGGAATGGATAGCCTTGTGTGTACTAGGCAGGCAATCTACCGCTGACCTATCTTCCCAGTTTCTATTTTATTTATCTAATAAATAAATTCTGAATTCTACCTAACTATTATCTGTCTGTATCATCAATCCTATGTCCTATGTCCTGGTCTTCCATTGTTGCTGGGGTTCCAAAATGGTTTGCCCTTTCCCAAACTCACGCTGAAATTGAACCCCACTGTGACTTTTTTTTGAGGGAGGAAACAAAATCTGACTATAGTATTTGGAGGTGGGTCTCTGGGTGGTGACTAGATGGCCAAAACAACAACAAAAGAGTAAAAGAAAGAAGATACCCTTCAGACTTGACAAGTCTGATGGAGGCAATTCAACTGAAATTTCATTTAGTTTGTCAAATTGACAAAAACTAGCCAGCACATTTTTGTGGGGGGAGGGGTGGGGTGGGCTTCGAGTTTATTTCTCATCCAAAAATTGTTGTGTGTTTTGTTTTGATGTGGATTTGTATGTGCCTGCTTGTCTGTGTGTGCCCACATCCACGCAGATGGCCATCAGAATGGAGCTCTCATGACTGGATCCTGGTGACTTTCCGAGAAGACAGAATGGGACCACAGCACACACACACACAACCTGTCTGCCAACGTGTGATGCCTCGAGCCAGCAAGATGTTTATTATTAGATGTATTCCCTGGGCACCAGGCCACATAGATGAGCCAAATAAACCACTTAAAAAAAAAAAAAGAGGCTGGTGAGATGACTCATGCCCGAGTTCATTCAGTCCCTGGATTCTGAGGTGGAGCATGTGCCTGTACTCACACATACAATGGTAATAATTCAAGATGACTTATTTTGTATTGTATTAACAGAAAAGCAATTAAGATGTGCGTGCGGGTGTGCCTGGTGTGTGGCAGGGATCAAACCCAGGGCCCTGTGCCGGCTATGCAACTACTCTACCTCTGAGGTACGAGCAGGTCCTAGGCTCCATGTTACTTTGCTCATTAATTTCAGCATTAAGAAAGAGAAACAGCTTCTGACAGGCAGGCACAGGTTTTGCTAGGTACAGACTATCACTGCCAGCGTGTGCTAGGTTAGCCTGTGGCTGAGGCTGCATAGGGACCCGTCATCTGGAAAAAGGAAAAACTTGTCTCCTTGTGAACTCACCTGTATCTGGCAGTCCTTTTGTCTGCTTTTTATAAGTGCTATAAACCAGCAACATCAGACTTTTGTCACTAAACAGATATGAAAGGAACCACTTTGGAAACAGGAGTTGAAAATAGGAAGCCCCACCTAGCATTGCTCATCGGGTCACATGCCAAACAGAGATCTTCTGGTGAGTTCTTTATTGGTAAATAGAACGACTTGGATAAAAACAACATTTGGTGTCCAATACATGGCCTGAGATCACTGCAGTGGCTTCTGAAGCTGTCACTTCTGCTGCAGCTGCTCCTCAGGTGGCTTTTCCCATCGAAGTCCCCCTGTACCTATCCCCTGGCCCCCGAAGACACCTGGGAAGTCCAAAGAAAAAGCTTTCCCATGTTAAGAATGGGAAATACTGCCAGGCAGTGGTGGTGCACACCTTTAATCCCAGCACTTGGGAGGCAGAGGCAGGCAGATCTCTGTGAATTCAAAGTCAGTCTGGTCTACAGAGTGAGTTCCAGGACAGCCTCCAAAGCCACAGAGAAACCCTGTCTCAAAAACCAAAACTAAAACAAACAACAAACCAACAACAAAAAAACCCAAACTGAAGAGGGTCTGCTGAAGATTATTAGAAAACCAACTTTAGTTTATCCAGTTACTATACAAAAAGGATGAGCAGACAATCCCAAGGTTATGAAGAAGTTTAAATGGAATCCTATAGAAACATTAGATTATTACTATTGAGACACGGTTTCTCTGTGAACCTTTGGAGCCTCTCTGGAAACTCATTCTGTAGACCAGGGTAGCCTCAAACTCACAGAGATCTGCCTGCCTCTGCCTCCCACCACCATCTGGCTGTCTCAGTCTTTCTATAATTTTAGAAGTTTCTTGCTCAGCACTTCCTGTTTACTCAGGTAATATTGAAGACTAGATAGTTATAATTTTCCTTGTTACCAAATTCAGAAAAGAAACTTACAAAAGAGATGTAAAAGTGTATAAATTGAGAGACATAAAAGCTTAAGTTGTTTCTCTAAGGAAATGTTTTAAGGCCTGAAAAGATATTTTTAGATTTGTAGTAAAAGTTATGATAGAAAGTGGATTAAGGGGGCTGGAGAGATGGCTCAGAGGTTAAGAGCACTGACTGCTCTTTCAGAGTTTTGAGTTCAATTTCCAGCAACCACATGGTGGCTCACAACCATCCCTTATGAGATCTTGTACCCTCTTCTGGTGTGCAGATATACATGGAAGCAGAATGTTGTATACATAATAAATAAAATCTTTAAAATAAAAAATAAAAAAAATTAAAAAAAGAAAGAAAGTGGATTAAGTACAAAACTTTGAACTCACCAAGACAGGATAGATAATAATATACTTTCTCCAAATTTGCCAAATACAAATCAACTGAACATTGTGAATGTAATTCTTACCTGATGATTTTTTTTAAAGATTTATTTACTTATTATGTATACAGTGTTCTGTCTGCATGCCAGAAGAGAGCACCAGGTCACATAACGGATGGTTGTGAGCCACCATGTGGTTGCTGGGAATTGAACTCAGGACCTCTGAAAGAGCAGCCAGTGCTCTTAACCTCTGAGCCTCCTGATAAATTGTTCTTATGAATATAGTTTTACTGTGTTGAGTTAAAACTGTGCCTTTTTAGTCAATACCTGGTAATTTCTTACTGTATATAGTTTTACTGTGTTAAAATTAAAACCTTTCCTTTTTATTTAGACAAAAAATGGGAAATGAGCTGGGCGGTGACGGTTCACACCTTTAGTCCCAGCACTCGGGAGGCAGAGGCAGGCGGATCTCTGTGAGTTCGAGACCAGCCTGGTCTACAAGAGCTAATTCCAGGACAGCCTCCAAAACCACAGAGAAACCCTGTCTCGAAAAACAAAAGCAAAACAACAACAAAAAAAGTGGGAAATGTTGTAGGATATTTGATTGTACTGTAAAACTGAACTGTGCTAATAAATTTAACCTTGGATTGGGGGTGGAGCCATCGACTAGTTAACAAGAATTAGTCATAGAGTATGGAGGACAGAGAGACATAGAGGAAGGAGTAGGGAGGGACTTAGGAGATTTACAGTCCTTTTTGGTTTGGGACAGTGTGGAGAGACTCTCAAGTTGGGTCTCAGGTCAAAGAGGAAGGCAAAGCTAGTTGCTTCTTGGCTTGTCTGATCTAGCAGGTTTTCACTCTAATACCTGACTTCTGAGTCTCTTCATTGGTAAATAGAACAACTAGATAAAAACAATAGCACCCATTAAAAGCCAGGCTCTCTCTTGTACACTTGTAACTTATACACACACACACTTATACACACACACACACAAAGAGAGAGAGAGAACTGGGCATGGTGGCTCATACCAATCATCTTGAGAGGCTTAAACAGGAGGATGTCAGGCCCTAGGTTCAATTCTCAGTATCACAAACATGAAGGATATTGCAAAACAGTGCTTCATTTTCCATTCTAATAGAATACCTACAGTTGGGAGTTGGGGATGTAGCTCAGTTGGTAGAATATTTGCTTAGCATGTACAAAGCCTTGGTTTCTATCCCCAGCAGTACATAAACTGGGTGTGGTAGTATATACCTGTGATCCCATCACTCAGGAGGTGGGATTACAGGAGGATCAGTTTAAGGTCTTTATTGGCTACAAGTCAAGATGTAGGGCAGCCCAGCCCAGGTTACTTGAGATCCTGTCCCCCAAAACCAGAATGAACCAAGCAAGTAAAATAACAGAATAGAAGACAGGAAGCACCTGAGTCCCCAATTATTTACTGTTACACTAACTCTGGACCTGCCCAACTCCTCAATTTCCTTTTATTTTGTTTTTAATGAAACTGATTTTGTAGGATTTTCTTATGAAACTGATTTTCTAAGATGGTGGTACACTTACCAAGGTTCACATTTGGAGGATTTGGTTCTCACCTTTCCACCATGTTATGTGCTGGGTATCAAACTCTTTGGTCTGGTGGCATATGCCTCAACCTGCTGAGCCACCTCAACAACGTTCTTGTTTGTTTACGTTGGAGACAAGTCTCACTCCACAGCCTCGATTGGCCTAGAATGCTCAACAAGCCTGTCCCAGCCTCCCAAGTGCTGAGATTACAGGAATGAGCACATCCAGCCTCAGGACCTTTCCTTTTCCATTTTTGAGACAAGGTCTCACCATGCAGTCCAATCAGGATTTATGTGTCATTATAGACCATATCAAAAGGATAATAAAAACAGAGAGACAAAAATGTGCACTTTATAAATGCAAAAGGGCCAAACCCATATTAATGTAAGCTAATAAATCAATACAGATTTTTTTGTTTGTTTGTTTGTTTTGAGACAGGGTTTCTCTGTGGCTTTGGAGGCTGTTCTGGAACTAGCTCTTGTAGACCATGCTGGTCTTGAACTCACAGAGATCTGCCTGCCTCTGCCTCCTGAGTGCTGGGACTAAAGGCGTGTGCCGCCACCACCCGGCTCAATACAGAATATTTATTACAGGACTATGAAGACCTATACTTTTTTTGCAGATGCTAGATACTTGACTAGAAAGTCTTTCAGTTTGGATATGTGCATCATTTCCTTCATCGTGGTGTCTCTGCTTCTCAGCTGGATCAATCCATTTTCCAAAGTAGTCTCAGTGATGAGAACGGTGAAGAGAATGCTCATTTCATCATACCTGAGTGGCAGTCAAACAAAACACATGAGCACCCACACAGACCTCACCTCCTCACCATCTGACCCACAGAGTTCAAGTCACTTTCCCTCAGTCAGGCCCTGAGAGTGGGACCAAATAACACCCCTCTTTTCTGAAGCATACTCAAAGTGAAGCTTTGAATTTACTGTATTAGCCAAAAGTCAGAAAAACTAAGACCTAAGAAGTAAACACTGGCACCTGAGAGGGTACTATCAATGAATTCCACAATGACCTCAGGCTTTTGAATTTGGCTTTAATGACAGAAAAATATTTGTAGACTAAAGTGTCTTACAATAAACCATATTAAAAGCGAGGATTTGGTATACAATAGATTATTTGGTATTACAACAAATTCACACTTCATTTATGACTTAACATGCATCATTGAATAAATCTGCACTGGTCTTCCTGATTTCCAAATCAGATTAAAAATTCATTTTAAACTTTTATTTTGTTTATTTTTATTTTATTCATACGAGTATTTTGCTTGTATATTTGTATATTACATATGTGTCTGTGGAGGACAGAAGAGGGCATAGGATCTCCTGAAACTGAAGTTACTGGAGAGCTGTGAGCTGCCACGTGGGTGCTGGGAATCAAATCTGTGTCCTCTGGAAGAGCAGCCAGTGCTCTTAATCACTGAGCCATCTCTCCAGCTTCACCATTCATTTTTTAAAAATTAGGCACGAGCTGGGAGGTGGTGGCGTATATCTGTAATCCCAGCATTTGGGAGGCAGAGACAGGTGGATCTCTGTGAGTTTGGGGCCAGCCTGGTCTATAGAGTGAGTTCCAGGACAGGCTCCAAAGCTACAGAGAAATCATGTCTCAAAAAGTCAAACAAATCAAAACAAAAAACAAATAAACAAAACTAAGCATGGTGGTATATACCTTCAATTCCAGCACTAAGGAAGAGGAGGCAGGATGATCCTAAAGATCAAGGTAGTCCTCAGCTACATACTGAGTACAAAGCCAGCCTGGACATGTATTAGATGTATATAGAGGGTAAAGAGGTCCTTGTGCACACAGATTAAGCACTAGGGAAACCAGACTGGTTAAATTCAATGTTCATCTCTTCAAAGAAAGGATAAACATGGATGTTTATCTTTCAAAGGATGTTTACCTGTCTTCTTCCCAGAACAGGAATGCAGGGAAAGGCTGTAGTTTACAACCCAGTGATTGTTTGCTATTTGTAGAGTCAGACTTCTCCTGATTCCCCCAGAATATGTTTGTTTATCCCAGACTTTCCCCTAAATCTGAAGCATTGCCCCTCAGTCCATAAACCACCCCTGTGAGAGAGGCCACTTGACTTCTGTGTTATCTTAGGCCAGGCCAATCCTGACTCCCACAAGCACTGTGGTTACCTCAGTCATTCTCCTAGACCCTTATCTTCAACACTATTTCTAAGTCAACAGAACCCATCTTCATGGAAGAAGCCATCTGTCCCTTGAAGAGTTTCAATGCTAACATGTCTAAGATTTGTGTACAACACTCATGAGACTGAGTTAACTGTCATCAGGAAACTTTTTCCCCAAAATCGAGCAGTTCCTAAATATGGCTAAATCAAACCACCTGGTGCCAGACTCTAAAACGATGACTAAGCACTGGCTGACTCAGTTGGGCTAAACCGAGTGAGCTTCATTCTTGTCTCTGAGCATCAAGGATTGTTCCCACTGCAGGTGGTAGAAATTTCAGGGGCCCACGCCCCATAGATGTGGTCTTAGAAAAAACCAAAAAAATCCCCCAAAACCCTGTAATTCCAGTTCCAGAGAATCTGATGCCCTCTTCTGTCCTCTGTCAGCATTGTACACACACAGTGTACAGACATGCACATAGGCAAATCATGCACAAAAGCTTTTGAACTCCATATATGTGCCAAGGCACACCCATACTTAAACATGATAAACATAGGGAAGTGATATCTCCACACGTGAACAAGACATTAGAGCATATGAAAACTAGGGAGTTCATTTTATATCTGAATAAACACCAGTTATCCCATTTCCATTTTGTCCCTGTTGGAATCTAATAAATTATACACACACATTCTATTACCACACCTGGGGGCTGTTGCCACTTGCTGAGAACTGTTTTCGTGCAGGCATTATCTGAAAGGCACATTTTATTTATGCACTACTTTTTGGATACAGGGTCTCATTATGTAGCCCAAGTTGGCCTCAACCTTGTGATCCTCCTGCCTCAGCCTACAGAGCGCTGAGCTTGCAGGCATGAGCTACCATGCTTACAAAGTAAAAGAACAAAACACTAAATCTCCTAATCTGGGTATTGGCTGGGAAGAGAGAGCAGTGTGAATTTGAGATCTATACAGGAGCTAGGCATAATAACATACACCTATAATCTCAGCACTCAAGAGGCTGAGGCAGGAGGATTCCCACAAGCTTAAGGTCAGTCTGGGTTACAGTGTAAGACTCTATACAGAAAAATCTTGGGGATACAAGGGAGGCTGTGTGCACTGCCAGACTGACTGAAATTGATCAGATACACACTTGACTTGGTGTGCACTCGATTGGGGAGAACAATAAAGATGCCTCATATTGAGTATCCCTTGTCTGAAATGTTTGGACCAGAAATTTTTTTTAATAAATATTTTATTTATTTATGTATACAACATTCTGCTTCCATGTATACCTGCACACTAGAAGAGGGCACCAAATCTCATAACTGATGGTTGTGAGTCACCATGTGGTTGCTGGGAATTGAACTCAGGACCTCTGGAAGAACAGTCAGTGCTCTTAACCTCTGAGCCATCTCTCCAGCCCCGGACCAGAAGTGTTTTAGAGTTAAACAAACAAACAAACAAAAACACCCTGAATATTAAAATCTATGTAATCAAGTTATGTTGGGGCTGGGACCCAAGTCTGAACATGAAATCCATTCATGTTCCACATCCCATTATATGTACAGCTTAAAGATAATCTGACAGTATCTTTATGCATTTTTTTTTTTTTTCCCCGAGACAGGATTTCTCTGTGTAGCTTTGGAGCCTATCCTGGCAATCGCTCTGGAGACCAGGCTGGACTAGAACTCACAGAGATCCACCTGCCTCTGCCTCCCGAGTGCTGGGATTAAAGGCGTGCACCACCAACGCCCGGCTTGCATGTGTGTTTTGACTGCAGCCTATCACAGGTAATATAGAAATTTCCACTTGCTACAAAAGTATTAGCATCCATAAAATGTCAGATGAGAGATGACTAACTAGAAGCTAACTTCAGCTCTGGGTAAGCAAAGAAGCCAAACACTGAGGAGACTGGGTCTCTGTCCTCCACTTAAGTCTCAGACAGAACCCGATGCCAGCCAGGAAAGACATTCAGTTTTGACTTTATACACCTAACTTTCATCCCTGAAAAACTGGCAAACTGATTGCTAAGGCAATTATTAGGAAAAGCTAGGAATCTTTTTTGGGGGGATATTTCAAGACAAGTTTTCTCTGTGTAGTGATGGTTGTCCTGGAACTTGCTCTGTAGACCTTGAACTCAGAGATCTACCTGCCTGTCTTCCAAGTGCTGGGATTAAAGGTGCTCATCCATCATTGCCTGGCTAGTAGTCATTTTTTAAAAAGATTTATTTATTTCTACGTTTGCCTACATGTATGCACACCACCTGTGATGGGGGGAGGTGTTCTTCTGTTTGCCGTGAATGTGTTTCTCTCTCTCTCTCTCTCTCTCTTTTTTTTAAAGATTTTATTTTTTTATTATGTATACAACATTCTGCTTCCATGTATATCTGCACACCAGAAGAGGGCACCAGATCTCATAAAGGATGGTTGTGAGCCACCATGTGGTTGCTGGGAATTGAACTCAGGACCTCTGGAAGAACAGTCAGTGCTCTTAACCTCTGAGCCATCTCTCCAGTCCCATGAATATGTTTCTTATTGGTTGATGAATAAAGCTGTTTCGGCCAATGGACAGGCAGGATATAGCCAGGCAGGAAGTATAGGCAGGGCTACCAGACTAGGAGGATTCTGGGAAGAGAGTGAGTCGAGAGACAGGAGACGCCATGTAGCTACCAGGTAGGTAGGACACCTGGACATTCTCTGGTAAGCCAAGACTACATGGAGATACATAGATTAATAGAAATGTGGTGGGGCAAGCCATTCTGTGTATGTATCTTATTGATTGTTGAATAAAGTACTGTTGGCCAATGAAGAAGCAAGTTAGGCGGGACTAGGAGTCAAGGAGGATTCTGGGAAATGTAGTAGGACCTTTGCCGCCATGTGATCCCGAGAAGAACGGACGAGCACTGCCAGTGTCCTCAATAAGATAAGTTTATAGGGAGAGGGGAGGAGAACAAGAGAACTGAGACGGGAGGAATAGAGGAGGGCAAGAAAGGAGATGCCAAAGGCTGAAGACATAGCTCAGTGGTTAAGATCACTGACTGTTCTTCCAGAGGTCCTGAGTTCAATTCCCAGCAACCACATGGTGGCTCACAACCACCTTGAATGAGATCTGGTGCCCTCTGCTGGCATGCAGGCACAAGACTGTATACATAATAAATAAATAAAATCTTGAAAGAAAGAAAGGAGATGCCTTAATAGAGGGAGACAGTACAGGTTTGGAGAGAGGTCTGGCACAGGGGAAATGTTAGGGGATTCACTGCCAACTAAGAAGCCAGGCAGTGGTGGAGAAGATGCCATTGATGCCCTTCTCCTATAATGAGATTTGTGTCTACCTTGGTTACCGTTCCTAGAGCCTTCATCCAGTAGCTGTTTGAAGCAGAAACAGGCACCCACAGCTAAGCACTGAACCATACTCCTGGAATCCAGTTGTGGAGAGGGAGGAGGGATGAGCAAAGGAGCCAAGATGGGGCTGCAGAAACCCACAGAAACAGTGGACCTGACCTACTGCTAGCATGGAGACCCTAGTCATAAAGCTTCGGAAACAGCATTGGACCAAATCAAGCCCTCTGAATGTGGGTGCCAGTCTATGGGACCTCTAACAGTGGAGCCAGACACAGCAAGGAGGGCCTAGGCCCTCCCCCATATGATATGATGGACTTTGAAGGTCCCCTGAGGAGGGCCTCACTATCCCTGGGGAGGATTTAGGGGGTGGGTAGGGGGGGGTTGATGGGGAAATGGGAGGATGGGGGGGTAAGGGAATGAGGGGGATGGATATGTAAATATGAGTAGTAATTAAAGAAAAAAGCTAAGTTTATAAATATACAGATTAATAGTTATGGTTGATAATTAAGACTGAGCTAGCAGTAAGAAATCCTAGTCATTGACCAGCAGCATTTGTACCTAATATAAGTCTTTGTGTGTTACTTGAGACCCTAAGGCAGCCGGCGGAACTCGGGCGGGACTCAGGCGGCCTGGTGTAAAGATTTATTGTTACAAAGATAAAGCTAGCTAATAAGAAACCTGAGCCATTGGCCAAACAGTTTATAATTAATGTAAGCCTCTGTGTGTTTATTTGGGACTAAATGGCTGTGGGACTGGGTGGGACAGAAACTTCTGTGAACATACCTGTGTACTTGGTACCCAGGGGAACCAGAAGGAGGCCATGGATGCCTGTTACAGATGGCTATGAGCCACCCTAACCCTAACCTAACCCTATGTGGTGGGCCCTGGCAAGACCCTCTGCAAGAGCAGCAGGTGCTCTTCACCAATGTGCTGTCTCTCCTTGTGTTGTCTCTCACCTGAAGGATTTTTGTTTTACTTCTATGTACATGTGTGTTTATATGTGCATGCCTCATGTATGCAGTGCCTGTGGAGGAAGGGAAGAGGTTGCTGAATCCCTAGACCTGCAGTTGTAAGTGAATAAGTGATGAGAGCTGCACAACATGGCAGCTGGGAACCAAACTTGGGTCCTCTGGAAGAACAAGCACTCAACCAATGAGCCTGCTCTCCAGCCCCATTTTAGTTTTTGAATTTTCAAGACAGCGTTTCTCTATGTAGCCCTTGCTGTCCTGGAAGTCACAGACCCACATGCCTGCCTCCTGAGTGCTGGCATTAAAAGGCATGTGTTACCACCGCCAGGCAACCAGCCTCATTTTTCAGATCATATTCAGAAGAGATTTGTTTCTATTAGTACAATGAAACATATAATCAAAGTAATTAATGACAAGGAAGATTAATTCTTACTTTGAATAGAGTTGCTCTAATGAAGACTGCACAGTCTCCAAATAACCAGGCCACACAGAAATCCCATTCTCTAGAAATTCATTAAGTAGCCCTTGACAAACCTGGAGGAAAAAAAAGTAGATTTCAAATATGAAAGAAAAGTTTTTATGAAACTATAAATGACTTTCTTCAATCTTTAAAGTCCATGGAAACTGTTTAGTTTTACAATGTTAAGAGTTTATACACTGGGGCTGGAGAGATGGCTCAGAGGATGAGAGCACTGCCTGCTCTTCCAGAGGTCCTGAGTTCAATTCCCAGCAACCATATGTTAGCTCACAGCCATCCTTTATGAGATCTGGTGCCCTCTTCTGGTGTGCAGATATACATGGAAGCAGGATACTGTATATATAATAAATAAATCTTTAAAAAAAATTGTTTATACACTGAACACCTTACTAAACCATGTATTTTCTCTAAAAATGAATAAATTAAGCAATGCTAATTGAATATTGACTGCAAATCTTCCAAAAAATAGTTTTATGCCAACCAAGAATTATCACCATTATCATTTAAAACACACAAGAGAAAATAAAATCTCCAGCCAGGCATTGGTGGCACACGCCTTTAATCCCAGCACTTGGGAGGCAGAGGCAGGCGGATCTCTGTGAGTTCGAGGCCAGCCTGGTCTCCAGAGCGAGTGCCAGGATAGGCTCCAAAGCTACACAGAGAAACCCTGTCTCGAAAAACGAAAAATAAATAAATAAATAAATAAATTAAGCCGGGCAGTGGTGGCACATGCCTTTAATCTCAGCACTCGGGAGGCAGAGGCAGGTGGATCTCTGTGAGTTCGAGGCCAGCCTGGTCTCCAGAGCGAGTGCCAGGATAGGCTCCAAAGCTACACAGAGAAACCCTGTCTCGAAAAACCAAAAAAAAAAAAAAAAAAAGAAAAGAAAATAAATAATCTAATGGTTGTAAAAAGCCATGTTAACTGTAAAGTCATGTGACAGGTGAGAACTGTGCTCTAGGAGTTTTACTTCCATAGCAGAAGGAGAAGGAAGGGACAGCCTGAGAAACCCCAGCATGGCATTCAGTCCTGACAGCTTCCTAGCAACTGGCAGCAAGATGGCAGTTGTCTTTCCCTCACTGGGGAAAGACAGTTACTACCTGGGCTCCTGAGCTCCATTCCCAGGGCCTGGGCCCACATGGTGGAAGGACAGACCTACCTTCCAAGTTGTCCTGGCTCCCACATCACACATGAGCACACATAATAAGTTACATGTAAAATTTTAAAAAGCCATGGCAAATTAACTTTCTTGAACCCACCTGTCTCAGTTCTGCTGTCGGGCCTTTCCCCACATCCAAAGCAACCTTAATAGGGGCTAAACAAGGGTGAAGTTTAAGCACCTGAGGCAATTAAGGGACAAAAGGAAGAAGGAAAGCACAGTTAATGTGTTGAAGGGGAAAAGCAAAACCAACAACAAACACCCCCACATAGGTGACACAGCAAAGCACCTTTCGCTGAAGGCTCTTCTTCCTTGCAAAGGAGTTCTCTGTGAGCTGGAAGGAATCGCAGATGTAAGCCAGCGTGCCTAGGTCTAGGTCCCCATTTATGGACAGAACACAAGGAATGACGTTTTTCCGCCCATCTCGACCCTTTGTAGAAGAGAATAGAATAAAGTACCACTTAGCAAAACTTTTGTGTCTTTCAAGACAGGGTCTCACTGTATAGCCCTGGCTGTCCTGAAACTCACTGTGTAGACAAGACTGGCTTTGAACTCACAGAGATCCATCTGTCTCTGCCTCCTGTCTCTGCCAGGATTAAAGGTGTGTGCCACTATGCCCGGCTAGCAGAACTTTTTCTTAAAGTTACATATTTTAGACTTAAAAGGCAAGAAAAAAAATTCACAAATTCATTTTATAAACCACCTACCTCATGCCAAGACCATGCTGAGCATTGGGCCCAAAGAGGATACACAGCCTGTGCATGTTAAACCTAGCAGTCTCACTCCGAGAGGATGAGCTGACTCACCAGGAGTGGGTCTGGGCCTCAACTTTTTCAATGCTTCCTGGGAGAGGTCTGCTATGTGGAAAGGTCCTTTACTATTATTATATGTGTGATAATGGGGAGGGGGGCTGTGCCAATATATGCACCTGAGGTAAGAGGACCATCTGTTGTTACTTTCACCATGTGGGTCCTGGGAACTGATTCAGTTGTCAAGCTCAGCAGCAAGTGCTTCAGTGACTCAGCCATCTCTAAAACACTGCTTTGTTTTCGAGACAGGGTTTCTCTGTGGCTTTTGAGGCTGGAACTAGCTCTTGTAGATCAAGCTGGCTTCAAACTTACAGAGATCTGCCTGCCTCTGCCTCCCGAGTGTTGGGATTAAAGGTGTGTGTTAACAACTGGCCCCGGCTTTGTTTTTTGAACCAGTGTTTCACTATGTAGCCCTGGTTTCAACCTCAGGTGTTCTGGGACAAAAGGGGATGTAATCCAGTTCCTGGATTTACATTCACTAAGGCTTGGATTTTATCCTAAGAAATGAATGAATGTACATTGGACAGGGCTAGAGAGATGGCTCAGGGGTTAAAAAAACTTGTTCTTGCCAGGTGGTAGTGGCACACGCCTTTAATCCCAGTACTTAGGACACAGAGGCAGGTGGATCTTAATGAGTTCAAAGACAGCCTGGTCTACAGATTGAGTTCCAGAACAGCCAGGACTATTACACAGAGAAACCCTGTCTTGAAAAACCATTAAAGAAAAAAAGAGAGAGCGAGTACTTGTTCTCGTAGAGGACCTACATGGTGGACTACAACTGTTAACTCTAGTTCTAGGGAATCTGATGGTATCTTCGGGCCTCTGGAGTACTGTATGCATGTGGTGCACAGAGATACATGTAGGCAAACACCCATAGTAAAAGAAAACAGAATAAATTTGAATGTACATTGGAGGAGACTATCTTTTTTTTTTTTTTTTTTTTGGTTTTTTTCGAGACAGGGTTTCTCTGTGTAGCTTTGGAGCCTGTCCTGGCACTCGCTCTGGAGACTAGGCTGGCCTCAAACTCAGAGATCCGCCTGCCTCTGCCTCCCAGCACCCACCAACGCCCGGCTGGAGAGACCACCTTAACCAAGTGATAAAAGATATCATACTGACACCCATTGATGTTGCCTACCTAATATGCCCTGAGAAGGGCACCCTCCCCCCCATCATATTCCTGGCACAAATACATAAATCAGAAAACTTCTGAAAGACCTGTCAGATACAAAGTAACGCCCTTAAAAAAAAAAAGAAAAAGCCAGGAACATAAGAATAGGAAAGACAAAAGCAACTGTTCACCTGGAGAACAGAGACAGAACAACCCCATGGAACAGTGCTCTGGAATAGATCCTGGGCCTGTAAAGCACATTACAGGAATATCCAGTTAAATCTCATGGGCTTTGTGGAATGACTAATAGTGGTGGGTTATGTTCATTTCCTGACTTTGATGGCTACAGTTATGGTTATGTAGTTGCGCACTGTCAAAAAATGTACACAAAGTTATTAGGAGGCTGGTTACAGGACACCATACAGTTATCCTTCAGCGGTTCAGAAAACAGAGCATCTGGTACAGGACACATGGGCGTTCAGGGTGACACACACCTGTAATGTAGACGCACTACTCCCGTGATACATGTGTAAGAGTTCTTGATCTCCTAGGTTCCACAGAGTCTCGATTGGCTCCTTTCCCCAGGGAAAGCTGTAGTAAAGTTTGCTTCCCTTTCGCCCTGCTTCATCCTGACAGTCAGTGCTGCTGAAGTTAGATGGACTCTTAGCAAACTGCAAAACAAAGTGTTTTGTTGACTCAATGAAGTGCTAATTCACTTGTTTTCTGACCTGGCTGACCAAAGATCCTCCTGCTCCTTCTACGTGTTGGGATTAATTTACTTCTAGTTCCATAATTATCTCTGAGAATTAAGGTTGCCTGAGACTTTTATCCAGCAACAGGTTGAAAAGTAGTTAAGTCCTGAACATAAAGGCTCAGCCATGGGCATCTGAGCTCAGCGTATCTGTACCAAGGGAACCCTGATACCCACTGGAACAATAAGCACCATTACTAAGAGCCTTCCGTTTGTATCGGCTCTTACAAACTCAGCATAGCAGTGTAGCTCAGTAGCAGAGGGCTTGTCCAGCACATTCTAGGCCCTTGGTTCCATCTCCAGGACTTCAACTGAAAAAACCAAACAGGTGGGCTGGAGGCTCACACCTGTGATCTCAGCTAAAACAGGAAGGTTACCACTAGATTTTGGCCAGTGAATTCCAGGTCAGCTTGGGTTAGACGGATGCCTTGTATCAAAATAGCCAAAACCAGGGCTGCTGAAATGGTTCAGCAGTAAGGTGTTTGCTGCTAAGCCTGAACATCAGAGTTGGATCCCAGAACCCACTTAGTGGAAAGAGAGATTTAACTCCCTAAAGTTGCCCTCTGACTGCTATATGTTTGCCACGGCATTTGTGATGATAGGCTTGCCCAAAATGAATAAAAATGAAGCAACATGTTTTTAAAGATTTATTTTTATTTATATGTATCTGTCTGTGTGCCACATGTTTACAGATGCCTTCAGAGGCCAGAAGAGGGAGTCGATAACTCAGACAGAGGTGGAGTTACAGGCGGTTGTAAGCTACCTACCTGGGGTGCTGGGAACCAAATTCTGGCTCTCTGAAAGACAACTGAGCCATAGCTACCTCAAGTTCTATTTATAAGCCAGGTGTGGTGGCACACGCCTGTAAACCCAATACTCAGGAGGCTTAGGCAAATGAATCAACACGCTGAGGTGTCAGCAATCTTCATAATCCCAGCGCTCGGAAAGGTAAGAAGTTCAAGGTCATCCTAAACTAGCTACATATGGAGCTTGAGAGTAGCCTGGGTGACATGAGGTCCTGTTTTAAAAACAAGAACAAGAAGGCAAATAAAGGTATTAATTATTAAAATTATTATTGCAGTACCTTTCTCCACCATAGAAGCCTATGCCGCAGCCAGAAGTCAAACCACTGGCTTGAATTCCTTGCAGGAGTAAACCACACCAATGAAGCTTCAGTCTTTTCACCAATTCTTTGTATGTAAAAAAAAAAAAAAGTTAGCTTTTATGGAAATTATATGATGTATCCCAAAGCGGGAATGATTGATTAATCAAGTACCAAACCAGGTTATCTGTCACATTGTGTACCTTTTGACACTGCTAGGTATCTGCTTAGTGTCCAAAACAGGATGGAAACACACTCCAATCTGAGCAAGACCATAAGGTAGCCTTCTATTTACCAGATCCAGGCCATTAACATAGTGCTCCAAGGCACCTGTCAAAAAACAAATCAATCATTACATGATTCTATTCCACATATGTAAACTGCCAGTGAACTCTGAGCCATAAATACCATTTAACTTTAGGTACTGACTCGAACTGTTTGGCGTGAGAATTTTCAATCTACAAAACACTGAAAGAATACATAATGAAATCCTGTCTGATAAGGAGAAACAAAAGAATGAAATAAAGCCTGTCATTTTTAAAGAAAAAAAAAGCCAAGTGTGGAGCTGTACACCTGTAATCCCAGCACTTGGGAGGTAGAGACAGGAGGATCAATAGTTCAAGGTCATCTTCCTCTGCCAGGAGACCCCTGTCTCAAATTAACAAAAGCAAGAAAATCCTACCCCAAACAACCAAATGGCACCTATATGCTCTTTACCTAGACTTGTCAATTAACATTTTGCCATGTTTTTCTCATTCATTCCAAACACTGCTATCATTTATTTCCTAAAAAATTCTCTATTATTAAAGTATAAACTGAAGCTAATTTTTCTGGCTCATTAAGTACGGTTCATGGACTGCGTGTTGAGTAGGCATCTTCTATCTGCCAATCAAGGACATTTTCTCAAGGCTGGAGAGATGCAATAGTGTGTAGAAGCAGTTGCTGCCAACCTGAAGACCTGAGCAGGAGAGAATTGTGGTCTAAAAACTGTCCTGAATTTCGTGTGTGTACTATAGCATACCCACATACATACATACAAAAGAAGTTTAAAAATATAATAAATAAAAAGAACCTCCTGTCAATTTTGCTTTTCTTTGGTTTGTATTTTGAGACAGGGTTTCTTTGTATTGCTTTGGAGGTAGTCCTGGAACTAGCTCTGTTCGAACTCACTAAGATCCGCCTGCCTCTGCATTCCGAGTGCTGGGATCAAAGGTGTGCACCAACACTGCCCGGCTCATTTTAGGTTTTTAGAATTTCTACATCCCGTTGTATTCGACTTTAAAGAAAAAGATTCGGGGAGTGGGATGTGAAGAGATAGCTTAGCTCATACCTTAAAAAATACATAAACTGGGTGGTGGTGACGCACGCCTTTAATCCCAGCACTGGGGAGGCAGAGGCAGGTGGATCTCCCAGCCCGGTCTACAAGAGCTAGTTCCAGGACAGCCTCCACAGAGAAACCTTGTCTCGAAGAAAAAAAAAAAAGTCAACATAAATAATACTTAGAAAATTAAAAAGAAGAGGCACACAAATCGTCTTATTTCATCTTCTAGATTGACAAGCTAAAACCTAGCAAGGAAAAAAAGAATGTCAACATGTCATGTATGTAAAGCTGAAGAGTAGGCGAAGTCTTCGAAAACGTCTAGGTACCAATGAAAATTCAAATACGTGACTGGATTAAGGTCCCAATTCTGCGGGATTGAGCTCTAAGGGGTTGCTCTTCAAATTGAATGCTTTCCCCATTTCCTCAGGCATGACGCCACCGACATTTGCCTGGAGTATGTTCAACGAAAAGACAAACAAAAAAGGAAATCTGGTCATTCCTTTCCTTGGGGCCGGTTCATGTGAGACTGCCTCTCCACCCGAACCTGCTCAGAAGCACGAGACGCGAAGAAGAGCCGTACCGTGAAGAAGAGTCGCCCGTAGCTTCCCAGAAGTTTTTAATAAGTTCTCAAGAAACGCCATTAGCTGTTCCTTACTCGTTTCTTGGTCTTGCAAGATTTCGCGTACACACTCTGGAGACACTAACCTGCAGGCGCTGTCCCCGGGCTGCGAAGGGCCTGGCTGCTGGTGGAGGGCGTCCACCGCGAAGACCTGCTCCCTGGCCACCACCATGGAGGACCACCACTGCGAGGCCAGGTTCTTTCGCAACTCCACACCCAAAGGTCCAAAGCCCAAGTGCCAGCCGCTCAGGAGCGCAGCCGGGCTGAGCTGCTGCGGCGTCCCGCTGAGGAAGTGCCTTCTGCGGCAGAGGTCTACCAGCGCCTCCCGGTCGTCGGCACGCTCGGGGCCCGTCCGCTGCTGCGGCCCCTCTGTGGAGCCCGCGCACCC